TGTACCAAGGGCAAAAGTGCATTATCGTAGGAAAACAGATCAGCACAGTAGGGCAGAAGGGAGGATAACTCGTGATGGAATCAAATGTAGTTGCTGCGGCAAGGTCTATAGTCTTAGTAGCTTTGAAGTTCATGCTGGCAGCACTTGCCACAGACCATCAGCCAACATCTTCTTGCTAGATGGAAGGTCTCTGCTAGACTGTCAGCGACAAGCAATAGGTGAGAACAATATGAGGAACAAATCAGATCTGTATCCTAGTTTGAAGGGCAGATGGCGTCCAGGTGAAAATGATCACATATGTTCCATCTGTCACTATGGGGGTGAACTGATATTGTGTGATCAATGTCCATCATCATTCCATAAAAGTTGCCTTGGGTTGAAGGTGGCTACTTTTCTTTCTTTGTTTTATTATTATTATTATTATTCAAAAACCAAGTTTGAGTTCAAACCTGATAAGAGTATCAATTTTTTTCTGTTTACTCTGTCCTTTCAAATTCTTTTTATGATGATAATTCAGTTTTTCTTTTTGGATTGTTTTTCCACTGGCATACGTAGGATGTTCCAGATGGTGATTGGTTCTGTCCATCATGCTGTTGTGGAATTTGTAAACAGACTGAAGTTAAAAAAGATGCTCTACTTTTCAAAGATGATATAGTTGTCACTTGTGTGCAATGCCAACATAAATGTAGGTTTTCCTTTCTCTATTTGTACATGGATCAAATGAACATTTTTTAATGTGTTTTAACATGCCTTTTATTCTTTCTAATGTAGATCATTTAGGGTGCCTACAGAGAAAAGGATTACCTAGACTGGAAACTTGTGCAAAAGACCATTGGTTTTGCGGGAAAAGTTGTGAAGAGGTATCTCAGACCTGAGTTAGCTTTAATCAGCTATGATGGGTTATCAGTTGCTGGGGACTGTCAAAACTGTTATTGTTATTAAGCATGATTTAATAACATTTAAATATTAGATCATTAAATGTTCAAATTTATCACTATTTGCAGCTTTAGTTGTCACTTTTGAACTCTGGCGAGTATACTTCTTGCTTAAATTTTATGGATAGTCTCATTATTTCCATTATTTTTTCTCCATGTATCTGGTTTCTGTAGGATTTTGGCAAGAACTATTCACTAAAAATGTAAACAGAGAGGGGTTCTATAATGAGTTGGTTTTATGGGAATGATTTCTTGGTTAAGTGGTTTCTTAGGATAACACAATTAGATGTGTAAAACAATTTTGATTCTGGAGCTGGCAGAGATAGGAAAAATGACTTTTGCCTATGCAGCTTGCTGAGATTGATACCAATTGGGTCAAATATTGTTGGTTAATCAATCTGAAGAAGAAAATTCTCAAAGTAAAATTATGAAAGATGAGTTTTTCTCTAAGAAAGTATTGTCGTAATGCAACTAGGGGCCTGCTGAAACAATTCATTAAGAGTTGTTGGGACACCTTCTCTTATGTTTTCCTATCATATAAGCAATGGGTGAATTAGTGTTCTGAGCTCTCGGCACTTACATGATGCTGGGAGATAAAAATTCATAGTTAGAAAATCAATTAGAGTTTTAGATTTTGTTTATCTGCTTAATGTGACGTAATTGGATTTCACATCTGATTATTTGTTTGAGAGACCCATGTTTAGCAAGAAAGAACTCCAGTTCCATTAACTTGTATGCTGATGCCTTGAGGGATTATTGATTCCTCAATGGCAAGTTCGAACTGGTATTGTTGTAGGTGCTTCTTAGTTTGATAGGACTCAAGCCATGCGGTGTGCCTGCTACAATGTTGTTTGACCATATATATTGTGTAGTATGATGCATGAAGATTGAAACGTTTTTTTACACCTTTTTTGTGAATTTGCCATGCAAACTATTACACATTATAACTTGGAAATGTTGCTTATTATGTGATCTTGGAGCAGGTATTTTTGGGCCTTCATAGGCTTTTGGGAGAACCAATTCCAGTAGGTGCAGACAACCTAACTTGGACACTAGTGAAGCCGTTACTACCAGATAATTGTGAACTTGATGTGTTTGATACTGAGGTGTTGATAGAGAATCAAAGCAAGCTCAATATTGCACTTGGTCTTATGCATGAGTGTTTTGAGCCTGTCAAAGAACCTTACAGCCAGAGAGATCTCATTGAAGATGTTATCTTTGGCAGAGGGTGAGTGATATCAATTTTCTTAAGCCATTCTCATAACTTTCCGGAAAATTGTTTGTGCAGCATTCTCTATAATGTTCTGCAAAAGCCTTTACATACATATATGGTGCCCTAATCTGATTTTCCAACAACTCACATGCATAAATGAAAGCATGTTGAAACTTGTCTCTATTGTCAGTATCTGTTACCCACCAGTTATGTCTAGGTAGAATAATGGATTCAGTATTCAGGCCATCTCTGTCTTAGTGACATGATGCCCTTCACTGAATTTCTTATTTGTAGGTTTGAGGAAAAACTGAACAGAGTGTTCTCCTCTTGAGTTCTGGGTCATTGCTAATTAGCTTCATTAAGTCCTTCAGATTTAATTTCTTTTTTTTTTTCCTAATGGGAACATGTTTAATCAACCATGTTCCTGACGTGACATGTCTGTTATTAGGTGTGAAGCTTTCTCATGTGCATTGTGTAGATTATATGGAAAAAAGATTGGCCAACTTTACACAAGAAGATGCCATGTTAACTTCTCAAGCTCCCTCATTTCATTTTTTCTCCATCAGTTCCCTCCTGATTCAGAGACCTTACCAACTATAGTTGATTGACCATGTTTTGGCAAGAAAAAAGTTCTGAACAGTGTGTATGTTGATAAATTGACTTGTATAGAATAGATAGTTATGTGGAACTTTACAAACTTGGAAGGTGATGATTTTTTATGAGTGCCAAAATGTATATGGACATTTTTGGGTGTCATTTACTTAGTATTTAATTTTCTATCAATACTTGAGCTGGTGATTTACTTCTTTGGAAATTAACAGGTCAGAGCTTAATCGTTTGAACTTCAGAGGCTTTTATACAGTACTTTTGGAGAGAAATGACGAATTGATTACTGTGGCTACTGTTAGGTGACTTACTTTTTCATTATAAAACAGCATACAGCAAAGGATTGCTGAAAATATTGATGAACATCTTGGCTTAATGCTTAAATAATTCTAATGTATATCAGTTGCTATCTGTCACTTCAGGGTTTATGGAAAGAAAGTTGCAGAAGTACCTCTTGTTGGTACAAGGTTCCAATACCGTCGACTTGGGATGTGTCGTATTTTGATGAACAAGCTAGAAAAGGTATTTACTCTGAAAATACATTTCCCTTTCATTGATATTTTTGAAAAACATTATGGAATGATATACTAGTTTTTATTTTTCCTTGAACTTCAGTGAGGAAATTGGAAGTTTTAGGAGGTCAACCTGTGGTTTAGTAATTAACTTTTTGAAGCTATTTCCATTGTGCAATTTTATGATCTCGAATGGTATCAGTAACTATAGTTTGCTAAAGCATGGTTAAAAAATCAGTTCAAGTTAGTTTGATTTTGTTTTAGGATTCTGTTTCTCGTGGAGCTATTCCCTCAAATGCATAATTCTAAAATATTACTTGACTGGATTATACATGGAAGCAGATATAATAAGGGGGTGCTTTCATGGTTTATCCACTATTTGGGTTGTTGATAATGACTTCTGGTTACTGCTAGGCAAGAGGAAGCTTAACAATCATACCCTTGGTAACATGGGGGCACAGGTTCTATTGTTTATGTAAGAATGGGAAATGAAAAAGGGGCAGGAGCAGTAATGTTTTATATTAACTTGAAACAGTTTAATCTTCCCATTTTTCAGTTCATTATTTTGGTCATTTCTGTTCTTCAGATGCTCATGAATTTGGGTATTGAGAAGCTGGTTTTGCCTGCTGTTCCTAGCGTGCTGAACACATGGACTGCATCATTTGGATTTTCAAAGATGACGACTTTTGAGAGGTTAAAGTTTGTGGATTATTCTTTCTTGGATTTCCAGGATACTGTCATGTGCCAAAAGACTTTGACAAAGAGCCCTTCAGCAGAGCTTAGTGTATCAAGAGGTATACTTGGGATCCTAGCTGTCTTGTCTTATTCGAGAGAAATAATTAATAACTGTTAGCGTAAATTTGAATTTATATTCTTACATGCTTTCTGCAGGAAATCAGTCTGATAATATCTTGAGATGCAGTGATAGTATTGATCTTGATGGTTCCACTGCCATCTTGGAAGTATTTCAAGCAGAACAAACTGTGGAAAACAGAAATATGGATGGACAGATGGAGTATGTCTCACCTCTTTCTTAATCTATTTGAGAGGAAAAAAAGCCAATAGCCAAAAAGTGATGAATAAAATAGAAATTTTGGAGATGTTTGGTCCTCTCAGAAAACCTCTTCTTACATGGGGCAGGTAATTGTGATTGAATAGGCCTGGGAAGTCAATTAAAGAAACCTTTTTTAGTTTTGAATAACTGAATAATTAATAAAAAATATTCTGCATCCACCTGCCTAGTTATGAGGGAGTTGGGGGGGAAGGAATATTATGGGGAAAGTTTGTTGTCCTTTTTGAAATGATAAGAAATTATCAAACATATTAAAACATTTATTTCCAGCCACATAGGGAACAAATAACATGTAAAGGGATTTCATTTGTAAATAAATCGAATAATTAATTCATTTATATATAAAGTTTTGGGTTTGAAATGAATCATGAAATTTCAAATTATTTTGTGAAATTCAATTGAATTACTACACATTTGGGAAAATACATAGGGGAAAGGACATTTCAAGCCGTCTCTCTCTGAACTCTCAAGTTCCTTTCATGTCCCATAAGCTTTGGCAGAAGTTGAAATGTTAAAGTATCAAATTCTATATTGAGTTCATTTTAGGACATAAATTTTATAGTTTAGAATTGCTAGTGTCCCTACTGATTGATCGTGTTATGGGACGATAAGCATAGAAATCAGTAGGAAATTGAGAATGTTTCTAAGTTTTCTTCTCTTTGCCTATCTTTAATATAATTTCAAGGGCTTGTTAAGATAGTACCCCATAATTTCTTAAGCCAAAAGGTTCTCAACTTTTCAATAATTTTTCCATAAATACTCTTCCATTTACAGCCACGGAATTTATTACAGTAGAGGAAGTAATTATTGGTAGCTATTTTGGAATTTTATCTAATTTGCAGATTTAAGTAACTACCTCTTCTATCTTATATTTTAACTAATCATACACATTCCCTAATACATATACTGCATAATTATTACACACAACCAGTATCTTACTATATTATTAGACACAATATAATTTTTTGAGTATTAGACACAATATAATATCTAATATATTATATTTAAAAGTCTCCTTAATTTAATTTCTCTTCCCCCCTTGATCTCTTCTTTTTGTGGAATTTATTTATTTCAAACATGGTAGTAGACTCCTTGCAAATGCTCAATCTCTACCAATTGATTAAAGATTTATTGTCTGAGTGAATTGCTTGATCTTACAGAATCTTGTAATTTAAGAATTTTGGACAAAATATTAGAGTTAGCACAAGTTATGTCTGAAAGAACATTGATTCAATCGGAATATGATGCATGTGATTTTCCCTGAAGCTGGTGAAATTTCAGGCCTTTTTATGAGCTTAAAATACTTTAAAGAATTAAACCTACTCTTGTAAGCTCCCTCTTGTATGTGCTACTTATGCGTACAGAACTGTGGAGAGCATCTGGCAATTTCATAGATACTTTTACTAGCTGAGGTTGCTGCCTTTCCTCTCCTCATTCCTGAAAAGGCTATTTTCATGAAATATCTTGCTAATGGAAATTATTTCTTCCAAGTGAAGGTTTCAGAGAAAATTACCTGAAAAGCAGGGGGCACGAATTCAGCTACTTGTTTGAGCCAAAATTTTGCAATTCTTCAGTGTATACAGCTGTGGTTGATTTTTTTACTATAATATGGTTTATGATTGCTTTTAGTTAAAGGAAAAATTGTAAGTATAGACAAGCCTGGTAGATTAGTGGTTTCGTTTATTTCAGCTCGTGCTCAACTTAAAACAAAAATCCAGTGTATCAGCCCTCGTGTATTTGTTTGGGCTTAACTGAGTTTCTCTACTTCTACCATATATTATTTTCAGCAAAAAGTATCAGCTATAACTCTAAATAGTAAAATTTACATTATAAGTTCAGCAAGAGACAAACAGGTATGATGATTTTGATAAGTGGTATACATTGTGGATCCTTTTCATGTGTGGTAATCTGGTAACTGCTTTGGCCAGTTCATTGATTATTTCATTCTATATACATTGTGAACGTTGCATTACTTTGCCTACTTAGTTTTATCTTTTACATCGGTGCTGTCTAAAGGTCCTTAGTATAATTCGCAGGGTGCATTTGAATGTTGCTTGAACATGGAAGGGAATCCTTATGACCTCACTACTATGGGTCATTTGAGTGTTCTCTTTAGAACCAGTTTAGCTTATAGGTAGACTTATGGTAGGATGCTATGTTTAGCTCCTACAAGAATGTCATGTATCCAAAGATGGACAAACTTCACCTTTCTGTAGAAAGTATCACGTGCCCCTGGCACACACGCATTCCGCCAATACCTGGAGAAAAAGCCGACGCCAGCCTATCATTTCCTGGGTTATGCTGAAGGTTCTTCTCTCTTGGCTAACCAGGGCCCTATTGAAGAAGTTGAATTGACTAACATCTATTTTTGGGATCTCTACCAACTGCCATCCAAAGTGTTTTGTACATAAGTCAAAATATCATTCCTTGGCAATCTCCGATGTCTTGGGATCCTGTGATGTCAGTAGATATCCTTTAGAATTGCAGGCTGCCAGTGCAGCCTATACATTGTCAACTTTTGTTGCATCTTACTAAATTGACAATCGGAGAGGTTTTTTTGGGAAATAACTTAGGGTCTCATTGACCGTGTATATTTCATAGGTTAAAGGGCCTTGTAATTTACATAGCACAACAACAAATTTTTTAAAAAGCTTTTCAATGTACATGCCTAATAAATCCCCCCGAACTAAGAATATCATCAGAGGTCCTACTGGTTCTTTCAGTTTCTCTGTTTACTAGAATATTTTGTTAATTAGTTGAGATATTTTTTCCTATATAGATCTTCCCATAATATTTCTCATAATGATGTAATTAATTATAGTCGTTATTATAAGGATAATTTCTTTATTTTTGTATAGAAATTTTGTATATATATTTCGTCTGTAACAACATAAATTATATGAGAAAATAAAATAAATAATTTTTTCAAAAATTCTACATTGAAGTTGGCAGATCTAATAAAAAAATTTTCATGTCTCAAAAAAATATATATTCGAGACTTACGACAAGAGACTAGTATGATAGGTTGCTAGCCAGCAGAATCTCCCATTAAAAGCAATCACAAATTACAAGCGGGTAGTGATACATCAGTTGACTTGAAAAAATATCAAAGATTGGTTAGAAAACTCATCTATCTCTCATATATCAAACCTGATATAGCATATGCAATTAGCCTGATAAATCAGTACATGAACGATTCTCGCGAGACTCATTTACATGTTGTCTTTTACATATTACGATATCTGAAATCTGCACCAGAAAAATGTCTGTCCAAAAATTGTTACCTTAAGATAGAAATATTTACATATGCCGATTGGACTGGATCTTCGTACGATATAAAAAGGCCACTTGGTTACATGAAAAAGTACGAAGTAGAGTGCAGTTGTCCACTCCAGTGTTGAAACAAAGTATAGAGTAATGGTTCAAAGGGTATTTGAATTACTATGGTTGCAAACTATAATGAAAGAATTAATTCTATTTAAAGAAGAAAGTCTATCATTATTTTGTGATAATAAAACAGTTATTAGCATTACTCATAATTCAGGTCAACATGATCGGACGAAACACATTGATATTGATCGTCATTTCATAAAAGAGAAAGTGGTTGGTTAATGGCTCCTTATGCTTATATCATGTATATTCTAACGATCAGGTGACAGATATTTTCAATAAAGGATTTTACGATAAATTTCTTTAGAACTTGGTTTGCAAGTTAGGTGTATGTGATATTTTTACGCCAACTTGAGGGGTAGTGTTGATTTAAATATTTTGTTGTTTAATTAGTTGAGATATTCCTATTATTAGGATAGTTTTCTTATTTGTAGATAGAGATTCTGTATACATACTTCGTCTGCAATAACATAAATTATATGAGAAAATAAAGTAAATAATTTCTCTAAAATTCTACATTCTCTCATCATATGCATAAGGTTCTTCCATTTAATTGTTTCTTCT